GACGTCAGACCCCCCTGGGCGTCACACCTGGGTGCCCAGCCGGGCATGAAAACCTTCCTAGGAAAAAACTATGTTGTGCTAGGTTACCAAAGTGGCCCGGGTCCACTTACCCGACCGGGCCAAAAAGAAATAAAAAAATAAAAAATAAAAAATATGTTTTCATTAAAAAATTTATTTTAAATTTGGTAAAGAATTTTGATGTTACCTCGAGGCAAAAGTTTGTTCCCGGTTGTTTTGTTAAAAAAAAAAAAGAAGTTTTTCATATTATTTTTCCTTCATAACATAGTTTTTTTTCAGATTTTTTGGAATTTTTTTTTCGGTTGGGACCTGCCCTGGTCCTTGCACGGCCTGGCCACTGGGGAAAATAGGGTGACCCGGGCAGCCCGACTGGTAGCCCAAATGTTGTGTAGAATTGCAATACAAACAACTATTTGGATGAGGGTCACATCATAATTCCTCACGGAACTGAAAATAAAAAAGAAAATAAATGAATCACACCAAGGCATCCCCATTTAAACCCCTTTAGCCCCTTTAAAAATAATTTATACCCCCCTTGCCCCCCCTTTAAAGCCAACACGCAAAAAACGAAACCCGTACTTGGGCTCCTCTCCGAGAGCGCGGAAAACCCCCACTGCCTTTTTTTTTTTTTCCTATGCCTAGGTATTCTGGGCGTTTGATGCCCCCGGGCATCTTAGTAATGAAAGCGAAGGAGAGCGGAACAGGTGAAGCATGCATCCACTCACTTAGACCTAACACATAGCTAAAAAAACAACAGATACGCAGGAATAGTATCTCGATTGAGATCGTGTGAAGAACAACAAATAAGCTCTACAGATCTCAGATAGTGCCGAGGCCATGCAAGATGGCGATGCACTCGCGCTCCGAAGCAAAAGACTGTAGCACCTGAGGTATAGAACTGGCGTGCCCGACTAGTTTCAGCCACCACCAGTTAGTGGCTTCATCAAAGGGTGAATCGAGATGCTATTCAAACCTACACTAATCCTATTTAAGCAACTCGGTCGCTGCCTAATCCGTGTCCCACCGGTTCATCACAAACTTCTCAACTGATACTCATCTCGGTTCGTCGCAGACCCTGGTACTGTCCCACACGCTCGCCGGCCGAAGAGTCCCACTTGACTTTTCCCAATCCAAAGTCCAAAGATCAAACCCCGACTTCAACTAAAATCCGAAGCCACAGTCCTCGTCATTTCTCAGTTCCAATCTGCGGGCCCAGGGGGAACTTCCCTGGCAGGCTACCAGTTCCCAAACCGTCGGACCCACTTCCCCCATGTCCGGGCTTTTCTCTGCACGAATTTTCGCAGGCCCTGGTTAAACATCCACGGGGGGTGCTCTTGCAACATCAGCTATCTCTTCAAAGTTAGTAAACTCGGTCCTACTAACTCCTCATTTGTGGTCATCCTCAGGATTTGAAACAACGTACAGGTAATCACAACTTTTTTCTCGCGATTTGTAGAGAACGAATCGAAATCCTGCAAAGTCCGGTAACAGATATCCGTCTCCCAAACTTCATTGAAATTCTTGGGAAAGCAATAACATCTCACTTTGTTATTCTCAATTTCAACCTTAGTGCCAAAAAATTCCCAACACCCATCACCATCATCCGTTCTTTTCAAAGTTAGTCTCTCATCGTACGCTTCAAAAAATCTATGCAACACATGTCGTTGCCTTTCCTCCCCCTTTTGTGCTAGACACCAAATAAAAATTGTCACATCATCAATTAACCGAACCCCTTTGATCAGATTGTGATCCCTCCCCAAATTATTCGAAAACACATGCTTGCAATAAGCACACAGTATGCAGGCCAATGGGGGACTAGTACTCTTCCCCATCGGATACCAACATGTTACTGGAGGATTCGATCTGCCGCAAAAATAAAGGTGTGATCCAATTCATAATCTATCATGTTCCTAATTGTTTTAAAACTGATTTGTACCGAGGCATCATCACCTGCCTTTTCTGCCAATGAGGCCCTTTTTCCCCTTTTTCTAATACTAACACTCACCTTCCCTTTCCGTTGGTACCATCCCAGAAGCCATTCAACTGCAACCCGTATCGATTCATGTGACAACTGACTAATCATTTCTTTAATATCGAAGACAACTCCGGTAAGAACTCCCCTCCTTCCTCTCCACCCATCTGTTGACCTCCTCAATCCTTTCCTTCAACATACAAGTAGCTTTCAAATTGAAGTGTTCGGATTTGGGCAACACAAACAGCATATAATTAAGAGCCCTAGCCACCCGCCGACCTGCCATCTTTGTCGGTTCAGATAAAGACGGGCGGATTGGTCGAAACCTCCCAATGTCTTTGTTCTTAGGAATTACATACACACGCCCGCATCTCCCTGTCCGATCCCATTTTCCCAAATTGAATTCGGAAAGATTCTTCGTCTTATAATCTACTTCACACTCACTAAGTACTTCAGTTTCATATTTTATGACTGAGGAAAAGCCATAATCTCCCCAAAACGTCGTACGCATAGCTTTTGCATACACGATCGGACACATTACGATCGTTTCGGCACTATTCCTGTCCACTGCCGAACATACCAACCCATCACACATCTTACCAATAACCCTCAGATCGCCATCCCAATCTGGCCCTTTCGGTTGCGTGGGTGAAATGCAATCACTTACCTCCTGAGAACTGACTCCTTCCATAATTTCAAATCTGCTCAAGTACTCGTTAATTTCTTGCTTAACCTTACTTTCTCGTACGGGTCCCGACCAACGCAAAACATTCATGCCGTTCTTCAGGAAAACGGGGCATTCCCTCAACTTGAATTCACTCAGATGGCACTGTACGTGACCCTCCACCCTTTGGAGGGCGCGGGAGGGCGCTGTTTACACAATGGCAAACCCCACTCAGCTGCTGTGAAGCCAGCCGATGGTTGTGGAGGACTTTACCCACGGACTGATTCTTCTTCCTGGAGATAAGAAGCCTCTGACACGTGTAGGCCGCGACTAATTCCGAAAACCATGCACAAATTTTCTTAACTACTAACACACGCAAGGCCCGACTAGACAACGACGGATCATACGTAACACTTACACAATACTGCTTCCTAATATTGAACTTAAACCATTTTCATATCAGCCCAGCGAGAATATCTCTTAGTGAGGCACGGGTGCCTGCCTTAGAGAACAAACTAGCTGCAATAGCAAGTCTGATAAGACGGTTCAGATCGTACTTATACAGTTTCTTTTTATACCATGGGTTCTGTATTACTTTATGTAATTCTTTCTTGAGTTCAGACTTCTCCTTCAACAGGACCCTCCTTCTCCACTTATGATCTCAAATTCACCCCTTTCTTCCAAATCCCGTCAGGCATCCTTAATAACCTTAATCCCACTAATTGTTAGTAATTCACTACTTCCAATTTTTTTTAACTACTACTTCCAGAGTGTACCTCCCTTAGAAATAAACTTCTTACTCTTTTTCCAAACATCCTTGCAAACCTCCACCAACTTAATAGTCTCCAGTAAGTCAGATCGAAACAAGATAGGCTTATCATTCTTCGAATTCCACGATCTTCCCCACTTTCGTTCCTTTCGCCCTTTCCTTCCCTTAACCCGCCTTCTTACCTTCTTCTTACCTTCTTCTTTGTAACCCCTTTGGCATTCAGACTCGGGGACCACTTTCTGATCAACACTCTTTCAACAACTTTCAGGTCCGTCTTTGGAACAAAGGCAATCGGTATCGCAATGTAGTCATTAAATCCTTTACATCGAAACCAGCTATACAACTTAAGAGTTACGATTATCGCACCCAGACGATGCCCCTGGTCCCATGCTCCTCCCAATGAGTAATCAGATCCGAACTCGCCTGTCCAATATAAACGGGTCGAACCTCAGAACTAATCAAAACATACACACAACAACCTGGATTATCCCAGTTATCACACTCGCCATTAATCAGACTACACCAAGTTTCGAGAAACCTATAACCCCACTGGCACTCACCTCTTGAAACTAGCAACACAAATAAATATCTCAGCACACGCTCTAATAGTACCCTCGACGGTTTAAAACGTGCACCCTGAACGGATGCCAAAAGTCTGCAAATACGCAGGAAAGTTCGAAGCTCATTCCACGGCTTCGTCACTGCGGGGGTCATTACCTCCTGCAGTCGGGGACTTCCATTCGCGGGTCTGGCGCTACTTCGCGCAAGGCTTCCTTCACTTCTCTGATGACCACTCCACCCGCTAGTCTTCTTGGTGTAATCTGCCTGGGAACTGTCACTGCAGGCCGAGCTCCATGCATGCTGAAATACATGACTCGCAGTTCTACCAACTCGTCCACGGCGTCGGGTCTGCCACGATATACGAACCGACTTCCCTACACATCGGTTCGATTGTAGCTTTCATTTTCTTCCCCAAACTTATGAATCGCCTTCTAAAAGGCAGCCGTCGTTGCATAATCTTAAGCCCTGGGGGCACCTTCCCACAATGGGGAGTCTCCCACTTCATCATCCGTGTTGTTCCTTTGCCTTGGTACCGCTAATTGTGGAGAAGGCCCCTCTTCTAGACCTCGTGCAGGAACCGAAGTTGAAGGTTTCCCCATCTTCGATGGGGTTTCGCCATGTATCATGCAAGAGACCGCAGGTTGACGTTTCCTCTTCTCCAACCGTTCCTACGCCTCCTCCTCCTCCTCCTCCTCCTCATCGCTGGATTCATGTCTCCGTTGACCCTTCACGGCTTCCTGTGACACGATGGCCTTCCTCAGGCGTTTCTCGAACATTAACTCAAATTCGTCCTTCAAAGCTTGCTTCTGCTTAGCTAACAGCTGCTCTAACTTCCATTCCCTCATCGCTTCCTTGTCTTCCTTAGCTTTAGCCTTCGCGATCTCAAGACGATTTTTCTCTTCTCTGGCACCTCTCTCTTCATCTTTTCGTTTTCTCCTTTCTTCAGCTTCACATAGCTCAACCTCACGTCGCTCTTCTTTCTCGTTTTCTTGCTAGCATACAGGCACACCATCTTCAGAGATTTTTCGATCTCTTTACTCAGTCCGATAGCAGCCCCTGCCTTATTCGAGGTCCCGACGCTACTTGCTCCATCCGAACTATTTCTCCCTCCCCCGCTCCCACGACTGCCTTGTTGGCTCGGTCTTCGAGAGGCATTACATTCCCGACTAACACACCCAATTTGGTCACAATTGTAGCACCTAGCTGACCTTGTCCAATCGCTACCACCACCGTTCAGACCATTGTTCCAGCCGCCACTTCCATTTCCATTATCCCGACCTGTGTTTTGATTGCCTCCCCTCCAGCCGTTGTTCCAACTCGCATTACCTCCGCCATTACCGTCGCTCCACCCATTATTGTCGTTCTCCCAATATCCAGTACCATTCTCGTTCCCATTCCCACCACCGTTCCCGTTCCTGTTCCAATTCCCATTATTACCCCCATTCCCGTTGACGCCTCCACCGTTCCATCCACCCCGATTAGCATTCCCGGTACCGCCTGGTCCGCAACCATTCCCACCTTGATTACCTCTGTTCGTCGCCATATCGCAATCACCACGTTAACAGCTCCACGATAATCACTTTGAAAGAAACACTTCCGAACAAAAACAACGATGTCACCTCGTACCATCATGCCCGGGTGACCGGCCGGTCATGGAAATCTTTCTAGCTTTATTGCACATTTCAACCCCGTAAGTGTAACGAAATGCTGCCAAAAATTTTAAAAATTCAATCTCTCTACTCTCCTCCACCTAATCATTTATTTAGTTATTTATTTATTTTTCAAAACAGTTTATTTGCGGTATTTTGAAAAGTTAGTGTGCTTTCTTGATCTTTTCTCTTCTCTTAGCACGTCTTTTTTTTTTTCTTCTTTTTTTTAAAAGATGTGCTAAGAGAAGAGAAAAGACCACGAAAGCACACAAACTTTTCAAAATACTGCAACCCTATTAGGGGTCGGGAAACGTTGTCGAAATTTTCAAAAAAGTAAATATTATTTTTCTCTTCACCCTTTGCTTTTTTTTTTTTCTCTATAGGTTTTACCATTTATTTATTTTTCTTCCCTCCCTCTAACTTGGTTGTTATTTTCTTTTCTTGATTAGGTTACCGCCACTCCACCCTACCCTCCCCCCCCTTCCCCCCCTTTCCTATTCTGGTTAGAGCTTTTGTAGGTTTGGGGTTCTCCTACCCCCGTTCTTTTTCGGCTTGGCCCTTCCAGCATCCTCGACCCAAGCGGATCCTCTCCCCTTGACTGGTTTCATGTAACCTTCTTCCGCGTTGATTTCGGAGCGAGTCGACTCATACCTATAATCTTTGCTCCGCCCCTATCTTTACCCTTAGCAGTGGGCCCCTTTCCCCACACAGTAGCCCACCTTGTTTTCCACCTCCCACCATGTCTACCCCCCTTCTCCCTCAACCCACAGACGGGACTACACAAGAGGAGATAGTTGCGGCGTCGTTCATTTCGCAGGTGCCCGTTCAACCGGCCGTTTGGAGATAGGACCCCGTGGACCTTCATGATGTCCTCATGTCCCTTCTTACACCTTTGCACGTGTGACTCGACGCGCTTTACGTGCTTGCACCTATACAAGAGCAACTTAATGTGCTTGCACTCGACGTCAACCGCCTCAAGGGTTTTTGTCCTCATTCCTCTCACCGCTCTCATACTCCCTCCCCGACCGGCTCATAGTCCAGTTCTCCACGACTCCAGACGCAGAGACATGGTGGTTCTCCCTCCCCTGCGGTTTAGCCTTAGCGCTCCCCCTCCGCAGTGGTGAGTGAGCGGCCGCTCAGACAGTCTCATTTGTTGCGGCATCTCCATCGGCCAATGGCCTCCACGGCGCCTGTCGCTTCGGCCATCGCCATCATGATAGGTGTTGCCGTCCAGATATTGCCTTCTGGCCAGGCAGTTCCCCTACGCATTTCGGTGTTGCTTCCCAACCCGCACACCAGTCGCGGCATTGCGGTTCAACCCCCGTTTTTCTTCTTCTATCCCATCTGCCCCACCTCAGGGCACCCCTCAGTTCGGGATGCCACCTCCCACTCAGGTACCCTCTTCGTCTCCTGCTCCTGCAACCCCACGCACCCAGCGAGTGATCGCTTTGTGGGCATGTGCAAGCTCGGACGGAGATTCTTACTCTTAGACAGCCTCACCCTCACAGGTTGCTGACCCTTCTTCCTTTGCTGTGCAAAAGATAATTGAAGCCTTCTTGGTGCGGCACAGCCCCCACTGGGGCCTTCAAAATGCAGCACCTAACAAGGTGATGAAGATGCCGTCCACCATAGCCAGGTAGGTACCTCGCCACTTTCCTCCCTAGTTCCCTTCTTCCTCCTACCGGTAGAGCTCCGCCATGATAGCCGAAGTGGAAGCTCCCGACCTTCTTCCTCCTCCCAGTGCTGTAATGCCCAGCACTCTTCCTCCTAGAAGCGCCCTAAAGTCCAGCGCTGGCTCAAGCAGCACGACTCCCAAACTTGCATACCGCAAATGAGGTATTGCCCAGCGCTCTACCTGAAGATATAGCGGCCTACTTGCCTTTTGGGCGGTGACTTCCAGACCGTGCGGCCTCCAAGCAACCGGTACATCCTCCCTTTCGGAGGGAAACATCATTGCAGGCCCTGATATCGTCCGCACAGGCCCGAGACTTTGGCTACTTGGACTGGTACCCACCTAGACCTAGCCTACCAACTCCTGGGCCTCTAAAAATGCCAACTTTTGTCTTGTTCTGCTCGACCTCAAGTTCCCGACACATCCACTGCGACTTGAGTGCTACTGGCCTACCTGCTACTTGAGTGTTTTTCCCACTGCTCTAAGGGCCTATTCCCGCTACTTGTCAATGAGTGTTTTCCCCACTGCAACCCTCAAAGTCACGGCCACAGGTAAGTACCGGCCTTGGGGCGCCAAACAAACAAGTGCCCTTGCGGGTCACACACACACTCAGACCGACAAGCACTCAGACAGGCACGCAGACCAGCAAGCAAGCACACAGTGCACAGACTTAGGAAACTCAGCAGAACGCGGGAATCTCAGCAATGCATTCATTCCAGCGGCGAAACTCAGAAATCAGCCGTGTTCTCACTCTGTGTTTTGACAGGTCATTACACATCCGTTAAAATTGGAACAATGCCGAGAAGATTAGCATGGTCCCTGAGAGCAAGGATGACACGTCCAGAAAAAAAATAAAATTTAAAGAAGAAGCAGATGATTAAGGTATGAACGGCGCACAAATCGACGAATTGAGTACAAGGAGCAATCCCAAGACCGTTTGACTCCGTTCACCTCCAGCAACCTCGAAGTCATGGGGCTTTTTGCCGAAACAGATGAGAAACGAATAATAAGAAGTCAAAAATACAGAAAGACTTCCGATAACTTTGGGTCGTCGAGTCAGAAGAGGAAGTCACCTTAGTAATAGTTAGTGTAATGACCCGCCAAAAACACAGACTGAGAACACTGCTGATTTCTGGGATTTGCCAATGGAATGAATGCCTTGCTGTAATTCCCGCATTCTGCTGTGGTTTCCAAGTCTGTGTGCGTGTGCGTGCCTGCTGGTTTGCATGCCTGTCTGAGTGCTTGTCGGTTGAGTGTGTGTGTGACCCGCAAGGGTACTTGTTGGTTGCAAGGCCCCGCAGGGCAGGTCTGTGGCCGTGACTTTGAGGGTTGCAGGGGGGTAAACACTCAAGTAGCGGGGGTAGGCCCGCAACACTTAGAGCAGCGGGGAAAAACACTCAAGTAGCAGGTAGCGGGGGTAGGCCCGCAACACTTAGAGCAGCGGGGAAAAACACTCAAGTAGGGGGTAAGCACTCAAGTAGCGGGGGTAGGCCCGCAACACTTAAGAGCAGCGGGGAAAAACACTCAAGTAGCAGGTAGGCCGGTACCACTCGAGTAGTGGTAGGAGTGTCGGGTACTGGAGGCCGAGCAGAAGAAGAC